GCTTTTGCAGCCAGTGTCTCGTGTGATTCGTTCCGGGTTTGGGATCTGTGGATCTTTCATTTGGAGGTCCCACCGAGATCAGAGATCCCGGTTCCGATCCCGATCCCTATCCGGAGGACACCCGACATCACTGGGAGGTAAGCTGGCCGGCTCGAGCTGTCTATGTCTAACCTGTTGTCCTGTTGGTTATCTGTTTTCTGTTTTGTGCGGCGTCTGAAAGACTATGCATAGTCACTTAGTATTCTGATTCTGAAGCAGTTCCGTGATCACTCAGGTTTCTGAGGCAGACGGGGAAGGAATTGACGAACTCGGACTTCACCCCTGCCACCCTGGGAGACGTCCCAGGGATCAGAGGGGTCCATTTCTTTGGGGCCCCCGGTGTTTCCGAGGGATACACCATTTTTGTAGGCGACGGAGAAGCAGTTTCTCCCAGGCCATCTGATTCTTTCGGTTTGTGCCGAAGCCGCGCAGCGTTCTTTGTGTTTTGTGTCCTGTCTGATTCGTATCTGTACTTTAGAGATGAGAACCAAATTTTCAGTCACAAATTTTGACACTCTCAACGGGACTTTTAAGGAGTCCCCACTCTGCTTTCTTGGGGAAGCCTAGCACTCGAAACAACTGCAAGCAGAGGATAAACTTTTTGGGAGCTGGCTACTAAAAAGTTAGAAAAACAAAAATGCCTAATGCCTAAGGTCAAACCAAACTGGAGGAACTGATCCTGTGGGTGAAAGATGGGATTAAGGGACTCCCAGCAGCTGCCAGAGCCATTTAGCTCTGGGGAGTTCCCTGGGTCCTTATCTACATCTTAAGGATTACGCCACCTCTGTTTACTTAAAAAGAAGGGACACTGAATGCAGTAAAGCCAGTCACACTGAGACCCTTGATTTTACACCTATAGTTGCCCCTACGTGAAAACATCTGGTCCACTCATGGGAAAGTCTATGGTGCCACTGATAGGAGTCATAATTAAATGAAAGTTCAAAACCTGGAGAGATATTTTCTTATCTGGTTGTCTGATTGTTTCTTAAAGATGATCTAGGTTAAATGTGTGTCTAAAAAATAAATTTTTATTGTAACAATCTGGTATCTGAATGGGTTTCTAAAGCATTGCACTATCTTGCAGTTAAAAGTTGGGTTTAAGCAATTGTTTAGTTTGATTTCAGATAGTTCATGCTAGAAAACTTAAATACTTGGAATAAAAAAAATATTAATTAAAATTAAAGAGTTTCAATTTTGAACTGGGTAGCCTGAAAAGAAATTAAAACGTTGGTCTGGCTCATAAAAATGACATTAGATAATTAAATAGCAATAGTCTTAAAAATTTTCAAAGCTTAATTTCAGATATATATGGTAATACGTGGGCAAATTTAATGTAACTCAATGCTACTTTAGAAACTTCAGAACTAGCAAAGTGACTTAGAGGTACTAAAAAATTTCTTCTGATGGTAGAAATCCTATTTCCAGTTTTATGTGAACAAGTTTTTCTAATGTAAAAAGATAAAATTTTAAATTTTAAAAATTACTTCTTAAATTTGTATTATAATTTTCAACATCTAAAACCTGGAAATATAACTTAAGGTTAAAATGCCTTAGGCCTAAAGTGTCTGCTCAAAATAGCAGTTCCTGTCCTCAAAATTAAGCTTATAAGTTTCTCTAGGTGTTCAAAACGGCCCTAATAAAATGTTAACTCTGCTTAAATTTAGAAGTTTACAAATATTGTTTCAAAAAGGGAACAAAAAAAAGTTTATATAATTATGGTGTTATTAATGTGTTCATATCTTCCAGGTATACAAGCCTGTAAGGTAAAAGCTTCGAAAGAACATTATATCAAGCTGGTATTCTAAAGTTATATGGTAATTTAAAAAAAAAATGTAAAGTTTTATTGCAAAACACAAAAGTACATCACTACTTTTCTATAAGAGGTTAAAAGCTTTCAGCCTTTAATTCATGTTTTAGGTGTGATATTATGTTATGTTAGCTAATGTTCATGTAAACTTGAACAACAATTTATGTAAACTTTATAAAATGATCAGCTTCAGAACTATAGTACTTGAGATTTATAAAGAGCCCTGCCTTACTTGAGATAAGGCTCTGTCCCATCTCACTACATGTGAAAATGGCTATAAAAAAGTAAGCCAGATTTCAGTACAGTTAAAGTTGTGTCCAAAAATAGGTTTGTGCCAAGATTACTAGGATCTCAAACAGAAAATTATGATGTGTAACCCTACTAGAATTCAAGGTAGCTATTATATAAGCTAAATATGTTTTTACCCTAGTTAGTTTTGTTTTGTAGTTTACTTATAGATGGTTTAAAAATTGCCTATTAATATTTTAAAGAGGTATTACTTTAAGAACACAACCTGGGCCAACATAAGATAAGGAGTTATCACCTACAGGATAGAAAAATAAACATTAAAGCCCAGTGCTCTTAATATAAGGCTGTTAACTTATTTGCTGGATGTTTAAGATCAAGTTTTAAAATTAGTTAAATTAAAAGGGCCAAGAAAACCAATATTCGGCTCTTGCCCTCTGAGTCAGTCTGAATCAGGGAATAGGGAACTTCTCCAAAGGGCTCAGCAACTCTAGGCCACATAACCTCCTGAGCAAGGAGATTAATGAGACCAGTGGAGGACAGGAAGCCAATCGGTGCATTTGCTGTAAAGAGGAGGATCATTAAAAAAGGGAGACATCCCTGATGCTTCTGAGGGAAGCCATATGGTCAAGCAAGGCCTGGGCCCATCCTAGCGCAAATGGCACTAGCAGAACTGAAAAGCTGCTATGAAGTTCCCGAGGACTCCCAGGATAACTCAGCTGACTGTAAACAATAGGTAAAAATAAAAGTCAGTTTGACTTGCTTCATCTTAAACACTTAGCAAAGACAGTAAAAGCCAAAGCACAGCTGTTCCTGGACATCTTAAATAATAATAATAATTAAATATAACTTCCATAAATAAGTAGACTAGAGGCTACAAGAAAAAATTCTTAGAAATGCCTGATAACTGTCAAAGGGACTACTAGAATAATTTTAGTCTAAGGCTTTTATTTCTAGCCAACGCAGGTAGACTTGATGTTTGCTAATATGGTTATCCAGCCCTAAGTAGCAGAATTAAAAATTTCTCTATTAGACACAGAGAAGAAACAAAAGGTTCTCTTGGAAGCTCGCAAAAATGTGCCAGGGGACGACGGGCGCCCCACCCAACTCGCAAATTTGATTAACGAAGCTTTTCCTTTAACCCGGCCAAACTGGGACTATGCGACTGAAGCAGGTAGGAACCACCTACGTCTCTATTGCCAGTTACTCATAGCGGGTCTCCATGGAGCAGGGCGACGGCCCACTAATTTGGCTCAGGTAAGACAGACTATCCAGGGGTCAGAGGAAACTCCAACAGCCTTCTTAGAGAGATTAAAAGAGGCTTATCGGAGGTTTACTCCCTTTGATCCTGATAGTGAGGACCAAAAAAAAACATTTAATGGGCCTGCCTTCGTCTCCCAGGTAAGTCAGATGGTGGCCAATACATTGGAAATTACCCCAAAGTTCAGGACAGATAAAAAAGATAAATAGAACCATCAAGGAGACTTTAACTAAATTAACGCTTGAAACTGGCACTAAAGACTGGGTACAACTCCTACCTTTAGCCTTGTATCGGGCCCAAAACACCCCAGGCCCACATGGACTAACCCCATTTGAAATCCTGTACGGTGCCCCACCTCCTGCTGTTAACTTTTATGAAACTGAAACCTATGCCTCCCTCACCCCATCTATGCAGACTCATTTGCATGCTTTGCAATTGGTCCAGAACGAGGTCTGGAAGCCTCTAGCCACAGCATACAAAGAGGAACTTAAAACCCCCTTGCTGCCACATCCCTTCAAAGTTGGAGACACCGTCTGGGTACACAGGCACCAGAGCAAGAACCTCGAATCGCGGTGGAAAGGACCCTACACCATTCTGCTGACCACTCCCACTGCAGTCAAAGTGGACGGCATCACCGCTTGGATCCACGCCTCCCACGTGAAAGCTGCACATCCACAGGAGTCCGCAGGCACCTCTCCGGATCCAGAATGAAAGTTGCAACGCACTCAAAATCCACTAAAGATAAGACTCACACGCTGTTGATTTTCCTTGCTTTGTGCTTTGTATTTCCCCTAACGGTTGCTAACCAAACTGTGAGCCAGACATGGCAAATATTATCGGGGACAGGAGATATAATTTAAAACCAAACATCCACAAAATACCCCCTTTGGGCTTGGTAACCTGCTCTAAGGCCTGATCTTTGTTACCTGCTGGCTAAGGCAAAGGACTTTGATGACCCCAGTGAGGCAGAAGCATGCGTCTACAGTGGACGCTGCACCTGCGTAGAACATCCCACAGGGTGTAAAGCAGCTCCAAGGGAGACACCCTTCTACATATGCCCTAGGGATGAAAAAAACCCAGTCACAGGTAGAAAAATGTGGACAACATGAAAGTTACTATTGTAAATCTTGGGGATATAAAACTACGAGGGATATATGATGGAAGCCAGGTTCATCTGGGGATTTAATACAAGTAAAAAAGAAAAGGGACAAGAGCCCCCACTATCTTCCGACTCCTGTAGGAGCCTAAAATGGTACGGGGCAAGGCCATGCTCCGCGTTTTCCTGCAACCCCTTAAACATTACCTTTACTTAGGCAGGCAAGGCATCAAAGAAATGGATAAAAAAAAAAACAAAAAAAAAAAACAATGGGGCCTAAAAATGTACTTCAAAAATGCCTACGACCCTGGGGTCCTATTCAAAATTAGGCTAACTACTATATTATCTACTGTAGCTGGCCCCTTGATTATATTATTGTTAATTTTAACCTTTGGACCTTGTATATTCAACAAATTAATGCAATTTATAAAAGGAAGACTGTCTGTAATCCAAACTATGGTCCTCGCGCAGCAATATCAAGTACTCCCACAGCACCCTGAGCCATCAGCTGAGCAAGTGCCGGACTCTGAGCAGGTAGATCAATGGATATAGGATTATATCCCGGATAAAGAAAAGGGGGAAATGAAGGACCCAGGCCCCACATTAGGAAATCCAACCCCTGTGCCTTG